TTCTCTTGTGTTCATCATTCTTCTCTTTTCTTCTTCTTTCTTCTCTTCTTCGTTCTTCTCTTCTTCTTGCTTCTCCTCTTCTTGTGGCTTTTCTTTTTCTTCTTCCATTGGCTTCTCTTTTTCCTGAGGCTTCTCTCCTTCTGCCTTCTCCGCAACTCTATCCGCTTCTGCTCTTACTTCTGCTCTTCTTTCCTTGGCTGCTGCTTTCATCTCTTCCAGCTGCTGCAGCTTTTCATCCATGATCTCTCCTTGCTCTCTTATCTTTTCCTGGATGTCTTCAGGTATCCGAACAGTTCTTTGCTCCAACGCTGCGAAGTTAGCCTCTTTTGACTTCCTCAATCTTTCTGCCTCTTCTGCCAATTCTTCTGCAGTTTTCTTAAACGTCTCCAAATCTTCTTCCTTCTTGTCTTCAGGTGCTTCTTGTTCATCGTCCTTTTCTGCTGACTCGCTTTCTTTGGACTCATCGGACTCTGGATCCGACGCTGCTTCACTTTCATCCTTTTTCTCTGGCTGCTCTTCTTTCTTCTTGTCAACCGACTTGACTTCATACTGCTGATTAAGAGCTTCCACCTCCTTCCAGAGGTCATCAGCATTTGGCCTTTGCGACCGTTCTCTCTTGAGCACTTTTTCGAGGTAAGTGGTAGCCCCGATGCTTCTGCTGCACTCCATGATCATATACTTGACTGCTTCATCGTCTGCCATTGCTCTTGTCCTATCTTCTTCTTTTTCTTCTTCCTTCAGGACTTCTTTCTTGAGCAAAATGGCTGCACTTGCAACTTTATGCATAATCGCTGATATGAACATGCACAACAGTATGCAGACTACACTTGCTCTTCCCAGTCCTTGGTCACCTTCTTCACCGAATCTTCTTGCTTCAGCCAACGATAACAACACTGCGGTCGTAACCGTCTGGATAATCCTTGTAATCATCCTTTCATCGAATCTTGGAACACTTCTTGTTCTTGTCCTTCTCACTTCAGCTTCTTGTACTTCTTGATCACTTGGTGCCAAAAATTCACCTGTGTATCCTAAGCTTAGCATGTACTTGCGTATCTTTTCTCGTGTCAGGGATTTGGTCCCCAAGTCTGTGGGATTGTCCTTACCTGCTATCGCCTTTATGATAAGCTTCGGAATTCTTTGGATCCATAAAAGGTCCACTTGTAAATGGCGTGCTCTTCCTAAGCCTTTTCTTGAGATCAACTGTCTTGAGCTTGACGAATCACTGTATAACATCAGTCTTGGCTTAACTCCTAGGATTCTTTCCAGTAATCCTTTCAGGAATACACCTTCGCTTAAGATTGATGTCGCTGCGATTGTCTCAGCTTCGCAAGATGACAATGCTACGTTTTTCTGCCTCTTGCTTTGGAAATGAACCAGGTTTCCATTCACCATGATCACTCCGCATGAAACACTTTGCCTTGACTCTCGATCTGCTGCCCAATCACTGTCGCTTATCACTTCTATGAGCGCGGGAACTTTGTAGTTGTCCCTCTCGTCGTTTCCTTCATTGCTTCTGTTCTTCACTTCGAGGAAACTTTTTCCGGGGTAACTTCCTTGATGTACCAACGCTAGCTCTGGTGATCCCTTGAGATACTTTCCAACGTACCTTAGCAGTTCCATGTCTGCTTCAACGGGTGATGCGAGCGTTGTTGACAGCTTCTTCAAGACATACATGATATCTGGCCTCTCGGGCGCGAGATACAGTAGGATCCCGACTCCTTTTCTGAACGTGTGGTGATCTTCTGTACTCAGTGGTTCCATTCCACCTTCTTTTGTTTGAAACGATCTTCCATTGTCCGCTGGACACGGTAGCTTCTTCGGATATGCTCCTTCCAACTTGAGCACTTCTACCAGTCCTTCGATGTACTTTGAGTTCATCGTGATCTCTACGTTTCCATTACCCATCGACTTGAAACTTCTCTTCAGGAAACTCATCGATCCTTCCTTCTCATCCATTGGTCCTTCCACTTTGATCTTCAATCCTTTGCTTCTTAGGAATTCGACCAACTTCTTGAATTCTTCTTTTGATGCGTACAGCTCCATGTCATCTACATGACTCAGCACGATTATTCCGAATCCTTCTTTGTCTGGCGTTCTTGAGAATAGTGCCGGGAGTCCACTGTCACTTGTTAACCCGTACTCCTCCAGGTAACTTTTCAACTTCCCGAACCAAGCTGCACTTCCGATTCGTTGACCGGGCAACGTGAATCCCAGTTCATTGTGAGCAGCGGGAGCACCACGATCACGACGTCCACGACGATCGTCGCGACCCCAGCCTCTAGAGCCCCAATCACCGGATGCGGCAGCTGGAGCCGCGGGATTCTCGGGAGCCTCTGCCTCGCCTGGAGTGTAGAATCCCCAGGTTCCCGGATTCTCAGGCTGACCAAGCCGGCGAGGCAACCCGAACTGTGGGGCCATCGGAGCCGCCATCTGCCGACCTTGATGGAAGCCAGCGGGAGGGAACGACATGGCTGCAATCGAGCGAGCCTATTCACTTCCACCTCCCACACCGAAATTTTTCGGTATGGCCCGATCGGCTATCGCCAAAATGGCCACGGAAAAGAGAAATCACGTCTGTTCCAACGATCGCGAAACTGATCTCCTAATTCCTACCCACCAGACCGATAATTAGGAGACATGTATATACATATATGTATATAAATCATGTGATGTATGTATGTATGTATGTCGATACATGAACAAACAGCCACACTCACATGCTGAGCACAATGTGACGCAAACTTGCAAAGGACACTAGCACCCATCGCAATCTCACAGCTGCTCAGGCAATCGGATAAGAAGATTAAAGGCCCCCCCTTGGTGGTCCCACCGGGCCAATGGTGAGCTCCCGCTCTGTAGCGTGCACAGAGGACGCTGGTGCTGGTCCTGGTGCTACACTTGGACCTGGCGACGTCTCGCGGACGGCGCCGCTGAGCCGGTCGTGCCCATGCAGGCGGCGGCTTCCATCGCAGGACTGTCCAACAAGACTTTGCAGATGATGGCGATTCCACGCTTCGACCCGGAGCATGGTCACACAACTGCACTGCAGTTAACGCCAGCTCTGCCCGACATGCAGCGCCACACAAGAGCTCAGATCACGAAAGCATCGTGAAAGTGTGTAGTAGCACAACCGTGCAGCGCGAGTCACGGGGAGAGGAGGAGACGCCAAATGGCAAGTCAAGGTTCGTCCAGGACCAGGCACACGGCCACGTATACGAGTTTGGACCAGGCCGTGTGTGGAGCGGTCGGGTCAGCAAGAGCACACCCATCGATCTGACAGAAACAGCGCTGCAAGCGCAAAAGCACGCACGCACACTCACATACACACAGTCTCGTTGACGTTCACGCATCGATCGGGATACGCCTCACCGAGAGCCCTCTCATAGGAGATCCATCCCCTCAGCAACGGAGTGTTGTCATCGTCCTCCTCGTTGCGGAATGCGGCAACTTCGCCAATACTGCCGTTTGCATCAACTCTCGGCAAATCGGCCGCATGTTCCTCCACGGTGGTCTATCCACTGTCAGAAAGCATACTTGCTCTGCCTGCAGCGCGCGTACCTATGCCCGCACTTCACAGGCGAAAAGATCGGAGAGCCCGCAGGCTATGACAATCTCATGGAGCCCCGAAACGCATTCCGATCATTAAGTGATACGAATTCGAAGATGCGTTCGAAGATGACGTTGCGCCATGAACATGTTGCAATCCACGACTTCCGATCCACGATGAAGGATCCGAAGAAATACGAGAGGTATCTTCGCGTGGACAGTGAAAGTCTGTCTATGCTCCTCGCCAAGCTCACACTTACGACTTGCTGCTACGGAGTTCCCGTCAAGGGTGAACCCGGCTGTATCTCTGACGATGAAGAGGAGGAGATGCCGGTGACGCTGATGCTGCGGCCGATGAAGCCGACGATGAGTCAAGGAGCAAGGAAGATCTTTAAATGGAGCGAGCTTGATCCTATTGGCCAGAAGCGTCTGCCCCATCACACGGACCCTGGCTACCAGGTTCCCAATAGATGAGACAAGAAACATGTCATTGCAACGACGGAAAGAGGGCGTTTGCGAAGGATGAAGCAGATGGCCAGAAAGATCACTCCTGCTCGCAGCGAATCTAGCTGGGAAACACGGACAACTTTCTCATTTGTTGTCTTCATCCCTTGTCCTGTGACAGCTGCGGCAGCAGAATGCTGCACATCTGCCAGTGCCATTGGTATATGTACGGTTAGTTGTGCGGAAGCATGAAAAATAGGGCGTTCTCGCACCTGGAGAGAGCCCAGGCAGCTGCGGGACGCTGCAAAGGAAACATGTTCACTGGACGGATATCCTAAAGCTGCTTTTTGCCTGGAGGCTCATCTTCAGCATCCTAGTCCGAGTCATTTTGTCTCTTGTTGGCATGTGACATACGTGTGTGTTTCCTGTCCAACATGTCTTGCCTGGGCTGCTTTGCACCCTGTTTTGGCTGCTGACAAGGCTGTTTAGGGTCGTTAGGATCGCCGGAGTCCGAGCGGCCGAGCGGCCGCTTCTTGCTCCCTGCTGCCATGCTGCCATGACCTAGGTTCTTCGGCTGGGTGGCTGGGTGTCTTTGTGCGTGCGTGATTCTGTCAGCAAGTACTAAAGCAAGCACGCAAGCCAGCAAGTAAGCAAGTGAGTAAGCAGCTAGGTAAGAAAGCAAGCGAGTGCATAAGCAAGTAAGTAAGCAAGAGTAACGAAGTAAGTGCTAAGGTGCTTCTGGTCCCCTCCATTTTGATCCTCACAACATCAATCATTGCGGCTATATCTTGGGAAGCCTCACATCCTTCGAAGAACGGTATCATCTCACAGCGGCTCCGCAGGGCACTTTCTCCCCCAGGCTGCAGAGGGTCAGGTCGGAGGTGCCTCTTGTGAGCTACGGCTTATTGGCCCGCAAGCTGCCGCAAAGCTTAGTTCGGCCTTCCGGCAAGCTACACAGCGGCTAAGCTAAGCTACTCGCCGGCACATCCAGATTTACAGCTTGAACAGGCTCACGGCGTTGCCGTGAGATCATCTTGCGGATCTTGCGATACTTCGCGGGGGAGCGATGGACGTGCGCCCTCGTATGCAGCCTCGGGCACCACCAGTAGGAGCCTAACGACAATCAAGTTCAAGACGATGCCAAAGCAGAAGGCCAGCTGCGGGAACGAGTGCCCCCAAAAGATATCTCGCATTGAAATCAAGAAGACGCTTGAGAAGACTGGCGGGCCCAAAATCATGCCTATCTGTCCCACACTTGTGAAGACACCCAGAACCGTGCCCAAAGGCATACCAGAGATAGTTGCAACATTGGCATTCAAAGTGCTCACGTACACCGCAAGCAGGGAGCCCAAAGCCCCCAAGACAGCGGCTGGATAGAGGGCCGTTGCGCTCGTGGCAAGAATATATATCACATGGGTCGAAAGCCCAAAAAGACAGCACAGAAGCACCTGTAGCTTCACACTCAAAGCTCCCCGAAACATTCGTAAGAGCACCGTGTTCGCAAAGAGCCCTGCGCTGACGCCGCAGAGCCGAAGACCCGCGCGGTCCTGCGCCATCACGCTCAGCCTATTCTTCGTGTACCTCGGTGCTGCGCCCATGTTACATGTGCTGAGGTTGAAGGGAAAGACTGCTGCTTAGACTCTGTGTCGCCACTTGTGATTCCCCGACGTTCATGAAAGAGCTGACGATGGAGATCAGCATGGCAACCTGAGGCGGAGCGCCGCCGCTCGAGCACTCGGCACACTACGGCACAGGCACAGGCACACTGCAGGCACCACTTCTGAGTGACACCTTAGCCGCCGCAAGGGGCCTTCGCTGTGGGGTTCTGCAGGAGCTGCCCCAAACCTCAGCGACGGCGGCGAGGGCTCGGCCCGGCGGCCCGGCCGCCGCTTCTTAGAGCGGATGCGGTTGCGTTGTTGCGGCCGAAGGTGCATTGGTAGAAGGACGCTTTCCGAGTCTTCGGAGATCGATCGCCAGAGGTGGCGGAGTCGCCTCCCTCCGAAGCTGCCATCCCTGCGGCAGAGGCAGAGGCAGAGGCAGAGCTCTGCGTGAGTATAGTCTCTGCTAGAGTCTGCCCTGCCTGGCCGAAGGTCCTCCCCTTCGGCAGCGATTGAAGTGGATTCCGGCAAGAAGAGGACTGCCTTGAAAAGCGCGGCACACGACCACACCGCACGCAGATTGACATATAGGACCTCCGCTTTGGGCTGAGGCACCAGAAAGAGCCCAGAGATCTTGCACGTGATGCTCATGTTCAGGGCCGTGGCCGTCATGCTGGGATTGGCAGAGGCTGCAGTGAACTCCACCATCTGAGCTGAAAGGGCAAAAGCGACGTTTCAACGAAGTAGAGTAGGGCTTGCAGGGCTTGCGTTTGCACTTTTCTTCGAAGTCACCAGGGGTGCCGTGAAGCCGTAGAGGACCTGCACAGCGCCCAGCAGCCCGTAGGCCGACGCGCGGCTCCGTTCGCTTGTCATGTCTAAGATCCACATCGACAGCAGCACCTCGCAGAGTGCGCAGAGAGGGCAGCAGGGCCCATGCTCTATGCTGTGAGAGCTCTATCCCCGCTATGCTCTATGAAGACGTGCAAGCTGAACAGAGCTGAACAGAGCATGTGGCTCAGCCATGCCCTGGAAATCGCCTCCTTATCGTGTCGGTATGGTGTTCGGGCACTGCACGCTGTAAGCTACTGGACAGCAGTTTCCTCTAGACACTGGATGGCTCTTGGGTGTAAGTAGCTCAGGTCACAAGCTCTCCCCGCCGTCTGCCTGCGCTGGGACGAAAGCGGGGATCAAAGAAGCCACGAAGAACCAATAGAACTTCCACTGGAAGTAGTACACTCCCCAGCTCCTCAGCAGCTGGGCGCATGGGCGCCCAGCACAGGGGGACCCTCGGACTCTCGGAGCCTCGAAGAAAGCCATGATAGAATCAACTTTTTTCACTTTGGGGCAGTGAAAAAGGCGGTCAGGGTTTCGCAAATTAGATGCTTCCCAGGTCTGTAAACATCATTGGGCCCCTGTCCGGGGAATCGCATCGCGCCGCCATATCGCAGAACGGAACGGAGCGGGACGGAACCAAGGCAAAAACCCTTGGCCTTTGTAGCCTCAGCTGGTGGGAGAGGACCTCCCAGAGGATGTTTAGGACCCAGATCATACTCTGCAAGTTGCTTCATGTTGAGCTCCCGTGCAGTTTCGGGAGTCACAAAGTCCAGGGCAGTGCCAGGACAAGCGCCCGAGCCAATTGGAGGTCCGGGCTGCTGATTTGTCCAGGCTCTGTAAACAGCATTTGGCCCTTCCCGGGCAATCCCATTGTACGGATAGAACGGAACGGAATGCCAACCCCTGAAGAAGGCCCGGAGCAGAACGCAAACACCCCTTATTATTAAGAGGACCCAGTAACAACACCAGTCAAGCCCTTGGCGAGGCTCACTATAGTTGCGAACTGGCTGGCGAAGAGGCAGAGAAGGAGCCTGAGCTGCCGCTGTCACAACTGTTCCGATCCTGTTTGAAGCTGCAGCTCCGCTCTTCTGAGCCGCGAAGCATCGGACGACGACCAAAACGATCACCCAGCACTCCTACCACTGGACCTCAAGCGGACGCAAGCAGAGCTGTGATGTAGCTTCTAGCAAAGCACACTCAACGCAATGCTGGTCCTCATCATCTCATCTCACCACTATTCAAAACACACACGTCCTTCAAGGCGATCCGGCGATGCTCGGTCTTAAATCGGCCATCGAGGCACTGAAGATGGCCGTGAGGATGCTGCCCATGATCCCGACGCTCACTCCGACCTCGTCTGCACCGTGTGGCAGACTCGTCCGTCTCTCCTTAAGTCATCACCGCCGACCGCTGCACGGCCGAGCTGCAGCCGTGGTGGCGGTGATGGCGCGGTCGCAGGCGTCCGAGGGGCCTCCAGAACAGACGTCGCTCCCCGCGTAGTTCACCACTGCCATGTCCTCGGAACGCAGACGACGGGACGACGAGACCGGCGTGGACTCTGCTCCTCTGCCCCTTCGGCCCCTTCTGCCAAAGATCCGGAAGCACCAGCCCGGACAAGGTCTCGCCAGCCCCCTGAGACGGGCACTCAGAATCGATGAACGGGCGTAATTTATTACCGATCGTCGCTATCACTTGAGGCAAGCCATGACGGGGGAGGCCACGTGCAAGCATGTGCATCTAGTACAAGTAACTTACGAGTACCGTACAAGCATGCAGTCACGAGGCGAGGCGCGCAGTGGTTTCGCGGAACTAGTTTCTGACACCTTGGGCTCGCGCGGCTAGCAAGGTTCAGAATGCCTCCACTGGCTGGCTTGGAGGAACAACAGGACGATGACAACAAAGACGACGATTCTTGCTGCGCTGGACAGAACATGTGGGCGCGCTTGGAGTCGAGGATGTCCAGCTGCAAGCTGTCTCGACTCCAAGCACGCCATCGATGGCCACTCTGGCCCTGGAATTACATGCAGTTCCCGCTTACGTCCATCTTCTGTCGGGGGGATGATAGGAACGACTCCTAGACTGTAGACACAGTAACAAATGCCCTTGGCATCTGCAATGCTTGCGGGATCGGAGCAATGCTCGGGATGGAGTGGGTGGGTTAAACACCTCGTGGCACCTGCCGCTCATGGCGGTAGCTTTGCGAGAGTCTTGTTCCAGGCGCTGCTGTACCAGTGCGATGGACGACGTCCATGGATGCAGGTGATGCATGATGATGGATGACGATGACGATGACGATGACGACAACCAGTCAGTTGCAATCTGAGCTGAAAAACCGACGCTACTAAATCTTCAACCAGGGCTCTGGGCTTAAAGCGTTCTGATCTGATCTTGAAGTTCTTTGCTCCTGTTCTTGTTGCACAGACGGTTTGCAATTGTCAGCACTCACAGCACTTCAGAGCACCAAACCTTCCACAATTAGTATTCACTTCTCTGCTTTCGAGACGTAGCTCAGAATCATGCACAAAATCCTCGGCTCTGTCTATACTTCGGGCATCTCATGGAGCTAAATGCACCAGGTTTTGCACATTCCACTCTCTACAAAAGCGTAAACCACTGCAGGATGCTCTGTTTGCGCTGTTAAGGCACCAGGACAAAAATAAAACAGGGCCAGATCCAAATGCATGACTTTCTTGGTGGAATCTATCCTATTCAAAAACTTATTGCAGCGCGTACAGGCATCCGCTAATGTCATGCCTTTGGGTGCTTCCCCCATCGAAACGCAGAGAAGCGAAAGTCATGCCTAAGTCACGCCTTTGAGGCTTCCCCCTAAACGCATGCGAAACGGATCGAAATATGCAGTCGTCTAAATGCTCTTAATCGAGCGGTTATCTGGGGATTACATGTAAAGGGGAATAGACAACAAATCCGGGCTGCAGCGAAACCCTAGTGAAAGCAATGTTTACTGAGGCCCATCCCTTCACACCCGTCACGTGGCTTTCAAGGTGACGGGTGACCGAGACCGTTTCAAAACCAGCCAATTCCCCATCTAGACGCTCGATTCCACAAGCACAATCTCGAGACCAGTACAACACACCAAAACCAACCATTCCCCATCTAGATGCTCGACTCCACAAGTGCAAACTCGAGACACACATCAGTGGGGAGTCGGTGGAGCCGTTTTGGTGTTCCAAAATTTTCATCCTATATGGGACCCGAACGATACCCTCTAACGATACCCGACCGATACCCAAAATGTCCACCGGAAGGCCATGGCCCACCTTACTTAGTTTCAAGGCCAAAATGGCTCGTATTCGGACACTGATACAAAGCACCTATGGGAAAAAAAGGAAACGCCATGTAAAAGCAATTGAGTTCGAAGTGCAGCTACAGAAACAAACCAACCAACTCGGCGTGGAATCCGCATGTAGTTTCATCGCAGACATCACAAACACAGCTCAAGGAAACAACCCGACCAATCCAGATGGAAACCCCATGTAAACGCAGTTAATTGCAGAACATCTTGCAAGACCTGACGACAACAGACATCCCAGCCGGATGTGGGAACACGGGAACACGCATGTAAACGCAGATTAGGCACGACTTCCGAAAACCTTTCCTCCAGTGATTTCAAGGATTTCACAAACACTGGCAGGACTTAAGCAAGTTCCGGTACTTCTTGGTAGTGTGAACCCCACATGTTCCTTCGCTGATCTTCGTTCTCCGTGCGTCGACGCGTGTTGTGGCTCCTGGCCGCGCACTTGAGGTCTCCGCCTTCCGCCACAGCCGCCACATGTCCTCCCTTTGTGGTCTGATTGCAGTGAGGGTGCCTCCAAGAAGACCGGCACCAGGAAGGCCAGCCACGCGGCATTGTCCCATGCTTTTGCTCCCACCTTGGAGACTCCCCCGCCGGCCGCTCCAGCTGCGCCTGGGGGACACCAGCGACACCGGCACAGAAACAGAGCGGAGCCGCGGAGCCGCCATCGGTCCGTTCTGCCGAGCTTCCGTAGGAAGGCTGTGGCTCCTGCCCAGAAGCGCCCTCGTCACGCAACAACGCGCTGCGCTCTTCCATCGGAGCAGGGCTAGGCCGGCTGGGTGTGGGTGTGTGCGCGCGCCACACGCTGCGCCGCTGCGCTTTGCGCTTACATGGACGTTCGATCTCAGGCTTGAGCCGCGGTTATTGATGCAGGACTATAACGGCTCTGGTCCTGGTGAGAGAACAAGAATTTTAAGGTGGGTCGTTTAAACTTTGACCATTGGCGCCAGCAAGAGCATGTGCTTGCGCCCTGCTCTTTCTCTTTTGAAGCTCTTAGATCGCATCTCACCATCATCGCCTGACGCACGGTTCACTCGCCATGAAGCGTCTGTACTGAAGGCAGGGGCATGCCGTGCTCGCCTTCGGCTGCCGGAGCGCCTACCATGAGTGGAGCATCTGAGCGTTCAGAGCCGGCACTGCCGCAGTGCGCCGCCCTGGGGCCTGCCTGCGGTCCCGGTCGCGCCGCCGGCTGCGGCTCCTCACGGCCACGCGGCCACGCTGCTGTTCGCAACGTCAGGCTGAACTGAACTGAAAGACTGAAACAGTCACACAACTTTTATATTCCCCTCGAAAAGCGTGCTATCATGTCCCCTCCTTTTGCGCTCTGCTCTGCTGACTCTACTGGCTCTCTTGCTTCCGGTCCGCTCCGTGCAGAGGATAGTCTCGCGACAACTTCGTTGCAAGTCTGGCGCTGTGGCTTGGTGCTCTGTTGGGCATCGTTTCTGACCTCGAGCGCTCCGCCGTTCACCCCGCAAGGGACTCTGCCTGCCCTGCTACGACGAGCGCCCTCAACCTCACATGCAAAGCTGTAAGGCACTGCGGGGACCTCGCGGGGAGCTGAGTCTTTTGGATGCTCGCTCAGGGGCTAAGTTCGCTAGGGTCACGAATGTTTAGCACCAGAAGTGCCTCCGGGGGGACGAGATGGAAGCACTTCGGGATCGCGACCGCTCCGAGCGTCCCTGCGCTGGGAGAGCTGAGAGCGTGCAGGCCGTGCAGGGTGTCACATGGGAACTGCTCCCGTGCCTCGGCGGCCTGCGCCTCAGAGACGAAGCTCACTTCAAGCTACTGCAGCTTTTTTTTCTGATATACTGAGAATGCGGCCCGCTCGACCGGGCGGCCGGGTGCCTGGGAGTCGCCGCCGGCCTGCGGAGCTGTGGAGCACATGGGCGCTGCGTGCAGATTCGCAGCGGTGAGCGGCTCACTCACTTCGCATGCTGCGCCTTGCGCACCCGGCGCGCGATGGGCTGGTGGTTCCCATTCAGGGCCACCTCCGTCGATTCCACCCCGAAAAGCCCCAAAACGCCGCTAAACGCCCCTCTTCTCCGTGCCGTGCGGCCTTGAAGTGAACGCCGTCGCTGACCTTCGACGTGAGTCGAGGCATCACTGTCGGAAAAGCAAGGGGCAGAGCGGCGCTGCGTTCAGGTCTGTGAACTGATCCCGATGGATCACCACCTGCAGCACTGGCGCGGTTCCCCCGACTCGCAGCCCCTCAGATCTGATGGGGCCTCTTGGCCATAGAGCTGCCGCGTTTGTGCGCAGCTCAGGAAGCCGAAGCCCAGCTCCTCGCAGAGGAGCGGTCGGCGGTGCTCACTCCGAGATCAGCGCCTGAGGACTCGGCGGGCTGGAAGCTGGTGACGAATCCCAGGTACCTCGCAGCGCCGCAAGGCCGCAAGCGAAGCACCCTCTCCCTCTCTGTGTCCTTTGCTGCTGGGGCGCTCTACATCGGACTCCGGTGTGCCGGGCATCGGCAGCGGTGCTTCCACCTGACTCCGCCGCACAGAAAAGTCTTCACGGCAGGACAGGCTTCTTTTGCTGGAGGAGGGTTCTATGAAAACGCGGATTTCCAAATGACCTGGCTTGCTTTGGTGACTTTGGCGTGGCGCCTATAGACTATAGACTGAATGAGGCCTTTTGGCTTGCAGTTGCCTGAGTTGCCTGCTTTTCGAGCTTCCAGTGGGCCGGGGGCCGGGGAGGGAGGGGGGGTTTGGGGCCACCACCATGCAGGCAGGGACCCTTCCAAGCTCAGATCTCATGTAGCCTCCAGCCCCGCGTGATATGACGGCCCCCGCGGGCCCCGTCCCCATCGTCCCCCCCGCCCGCTGGCACCTCCAGGAGCCTCTGCCGCTCCTGGCCACAGGGGGCGAAGGCATGAGACAGATTTTAGCAGCGGTGCAGCTCAGTGAAGCGACCGCTGTGGCAGGATGGCTGCTGCGCAGAGCTGAGAGCGAAAGCTGCAGAGTTTGCAGCAAAGGCAGCAGAGTTTTTAGAGCTTGCGAATATAGAGTTTGCTAGCGAGGAGGACTCGGCATCTGCGGGCCGACGGCCCCATCTGCGATTCACGGAGCGTGGAGTCGTGGAGCAGCGTGCAGGGCGCGCGCGCGCGCGCGCGCGCGCCTGCGTCAGCGCTTCCAACTTGCGAGCGAAGGAAACCTGCAGCCGATGCCACTCTGGACCATGGACCATCATGGACTCCAAATCACTGCTACCTGAGGGATTCCCAACTGATTCTGTGCGACTTTGAAGACCACGGAGTCACCGATCTGACACCAGAGCTGAGTCAAAGAGTCTCAGGGGGATGCATGCAGGCAGCTGCCAGGCACCTTTAGGCTGCCAAGCTGGTCCTTCAAGATCTGGACCTCTCCACGAAGCAAGAGCGGCCGAGCGGCCAAACTCAGAGCGATCCGAGGCTCGGACATTCGTCGGAAGCTCCTGCGCCTGTATAGCTCCAATCAAAGCCGCTGAAGATTTGATCAGCCGGGCCACCACACCTGAGCGAAAGGGAGCGAAAGCACACCCAGCGAGACCCCAGCGAGACGCAGCGTGCCGCGTGCGCCGCCGCGCTGGCCCAAGGTGTGCGTTCTCCGCGGCTCCGGTCTCCGCTGCCAGGCTGCCAGTTCGAGTCGGGTGAGACGGTGCTCAGAGGAGCGGCCCCGCGTGGCGGCTGAGCCACCGTTTGGTGGCTCGGAACTCCGCTTGAAAAGCTCTCAGCCGCTCCGGAACAGAACCGGGTCCTCGATCTCCTTCACCACGTCCTCGCCGCGGCGCAAACAGACGCGGGGGGCCGCCGCTCCCCGAGGCGCTCGAAACGCTCGCATCTCGCATCTCGCGCATCTCGCGCCTTGCCCACTTCCATGGCTCGTCTCAGGTCTTTGATCCGGATGTCCCGCTCCCAGGAGGCGACCTCGGCGGCAGAGCGAGCCGTGTGCCTTTCCGAAGGGACACACATCTCGCTCGCTCGCATCTCGCGCTGAGCCGCTGAGGGTCCGACCAACTCCCGACCTTGCGAGGCCAGCCTCTGCCGCTCCTCTCGGCGAGCCTTCGTCCTTTGACAGAGATAGAACTGCCCGAGATGTTCAGGGCCAAAACGCGATTGTCATGTACAAAGCCGTGGGTCTCAAGCCACGGTTGAAAAAACTATTGACGCAACGAAAGATAAAGTAAAACTTTCAGTCCAATTGCAGCACTCGCAAGCTTCTTTGAATCAGATCAAGCCAATAGGCCGGGACGGTGATATAAATGTACACACGCAGTTTTTTGTATGTACATACACACATACATATGCTCGCCGCCCCCAAGATCTACCGCAGTGGTGATTCATGGGGGCATGGGGTGCATCAAACACTGTAATGAGCAATGCTCCACCAGTTCCAACCTGAAACTCACGAAACACAGTAGTGCTCGAAACTTCCAAAATTCTGGCATCTGTGGCGGAACGGTGGTCAAACGCTCCAACAGTCTTGATTTTTTGAACATTACAGTGTTTTGCGGTTGGAAATTTTCGCTTTTTTTGAACATTAGTGTGTTCTGCGAGGTGCTGGGCACGAAACCTTGTAATTCTCCAAATGCCGGCCCTGAAGTCACGAGCCACTGTCCGGATAAAACATCTCCACAATTTTAGACTTGTTGGGATAGTTTGAGCAGATGTTTCGTGCGTCATAAGGTTGGAAGTTTTGGTATTTGTTGTGCATTACAGTGTTTTGTGAGGTTCAGGACATGAAACCTTGTGATGCTCAAAAACTTCAACTGTTCCAATCTTGAAGCTCACGAAACGCTGTAATGCTGCTATAATTATCATAGAACATAACACAACATAAAGATCCAGAGAATACCCTAGGTCTTCTCAACAGACAAAACGAGCTTCGTTTATGGGTCTGTTCTACTAAATTGCTGCCGACTTATGTTCTTTTCCGTGCACAAAAGGCTTCTATTAATTCTTATTGAAGCTACGTCTTTCACATCCTCAAACCGATCGCACTGTCTACGGCTGCGCGGTGATAGTTTGCATCACAAAATATAGAAGGAGATCTCTTCAATCTTCGAGCAATGAACATGCCATGTTCTGTTCCTTCCTGAAGCAGCAGGTTTTCGTCACTGTTACTTGCTAAGAAGGAAGAAGGCGCTATCCCGGAAGGAGATACCGAGCGCTGTGTCCATGGTCGTCAGCTGCCATAGATCGTGTCACAAGAGAAACAACAGCCTTTTTGAGTTTGCAAAGATAAAGGTGCCATCTTGAGCTTCTCTACAAGGATAAAGAAGCTCGTAACTGTTGATTGTGGGGTATAAAGAAGGCCCATCCTATGCGCCCTGTTACGAAAATAAAGCTTTCACCAACAGAGGCGTTCCTTGTTTCTTATGAAGGAAAAACACCCGTCGGAGTTCGGATCAATAAAAGAAGCTGCAGCTCAACGCCGGGTTTGGCCCTCGAGGCCCTCGACACTGTGACGCTTGTTCAAAGGAGCGCTCGGTGGCTTCCGATTATCCACCACACGTAGGGCCATTGGGCCGGCCCCATTCGGCAAAGAAACCATCGGACGCTTTAGGCGCAGCGGGAAAGAGACAGCCCAATATAATGGTAAGAGAACCTGAAGTGGTTTTTGCAAGGCGAATATTGCTAAATGATGCTCCATGATCGTAAATACCATCTACTCCGGCAGGTCCGGACATTTATGTGTCAAACATTGCTTAAACCCCGACTACATTTCAAGAGAACGCGCCAGGCAACACGCTCAAGTTCGAGGTGAACACTCAAACGGCGACACTGTGCTTTTTCAATCAACAACTAGCTGTCCCTAGGGAAAACCAAAATTAAAGAACAAAAACGAAATGCCATCATAAACTATACGGCCAACGTCCAAAAACTATTCTAGCTCCTTTTTCTAGGATGACATTGGCCTATAACTTCTTCTTCAACCAAATTTTTCTTAGGAAATCACCACAGCAGAGGAAGTTCAAACTACATGGCAAAGTTCAAAAAGTTGTCGTTTTGGTTGTTACCAAGATAGATTTGTTTTTTTTGCGCCCAAAACCTTTTGTTTTCCTAAGCAAAAACTTGCTTTTCATCTTTTGACTCGAGGGCGAGGGTGCTGGGACCTTTCCAAGGACCCATTTTGGACGTCTTTTTGCTAGGACACATTGGTTTTTCCGCCTCAATCCATCTTTGTCCCAGGAAACAGTCGGCCTGTTTTTCGGCCCCAAGCCAACTTCTTCCTAAGACAAACAAAAAAAACATAGCTGTTTGGACTTTGGCCGTGTAGATTCCCCAAAAGGTGCTTTGGGTGTTTTTGGTTTCCGGAAAGAACTGGCTCTTCGACCCGAAACCAACCATTTCTTTAAGGAAGAGCTTGTGCTTCATTCCAGGATGAAGTTCTTCCAGAAAAGAAGTTTGTACTTCATTTGTTGCTTGCGAGAGAAGGCTCCAGTATTGCGATACGAACCTGTTTAGCTTTAATAATACACAACATTTGAGGAATAACCAGGCCATTATTGGGATCCTACAGCGAGAAGGGGGTGCCATATTACACTTTGTTGTTGTTTCATTTTCCGTACATTTACTGGGCAATTTGGGGCAACGCTAGAGCAAGATTGTTTGTGCAGTTGAACAGTTAATAATATAGCGTGAATATTTCGGTCGCCGTTAAGGTAAACGCTTGGGCAACATTTAGCTTATGTGTATTCATACTAGCAGCAACTGGTTTCGGTGATTAAACTTCGTAAATTTCGGGGTTCATGAACCAATAAGTGCTGATGCTGGGGATACCACAGCTGCATCCGGAATATGTAAACTCTTGGTGAAGCCCAAGACATTGTGGGAAGTATTCGGTGCATTACGAAAGTTAAATTTAAACGTTGGAACAGCATGTGTTTCACATTAAGTTCGCGCCTACCGTCCATCTCGCCTTCAGATCCAATACTGGTACTAGGATTGCCAAGGGGATTGCAGTATCCTGGCTATCGGTGTGCCACTCAGGTTAATGTATGTGCTCATCTATTGTGAAATCCCAGACCTGTAATTCTGGGACACGCGTCTTGTACATTCTCATTACTGCATGGTGATCAAGCTGAAGGCATGCGGATTCCGATTGGGCTTCACACTTTGGCAGATGCAGCTATACGCACGTGTGCAAGAGCGAAGAGCAAAACATATTGAACGAATAGGCATATCTGGCTTACGTGCTAATGTGTAATGGTGAAGCACAGCCGAACAATCTACACATGCTAAGCACAATTTGTGCAACATTGCACTTACAGTTCGTGACAAGCCCATACCGACGAAACTTCGGATACATCATTTGAACCTAAACGCAATGGCACAGCTACTTTTTGCACTCTAGCTCAAGGGCCCTTCGAGTCGTAACGGCAACGGCAGAAACATATACAACTGTACATAAGCTGTTTACCTAGACCAATGCATAACAAAAGGCACGCACTCAAGCTGCACATGTATCGAGGTGATATTCACACCCGTCTTACTTATTGATGCGTGCCGGGGGCTCAGTCGCTTCGCGATGTTGTGGGAGCTTCCCGATCAAAATCTGCACATTCCGTAGGCTTTCTACCAGACTGCAATTTTCGGTAACTACTAGATCAGTATTCCAAGCATTCAACTGTACAAACGTGCACTGCGGCTCACGACTGTTGTAACGCTAGCACCTCGTCTCTGGACAACTTGCGTGTTGGCTCCGACAGTTGGACCATCGCATCCTCCATCAACTTAAACAGCTGAAACGGCTTGAGGCTTTTTGTCAATGCATCAGCTAGTTGCGTCGCGGTGTCTGTCCATCTTGTTTTGTCTCCGCACGGAGACAACACCTTCCAGGATTCCACTTCTTCAATCCATAATTGTTGTCTCATGGCCGCTAGCTGCCGCTAGCTCTATAGCAAGCCTTTTGCCCACGACTTTGTTGACAAGGGTGCTGTTGAGACGGTCACTAAGACTGCGACAGTCCGTGATCCACAAATGTCTCATTTTCTTTTGCGATTCCTCCAACCAACCTTTCAGTGTTGGCAGCTGGTCTCGAAGTTCACAAATGATTGCTCTTAAGCGGTCTCCGTTCTCCACTGCCGTTTGCATTGCGAACGTTTCCGATGCCAATGTGTTGCGACACACTCTCTTGATGGTTGTGGAGCCGTAACTCAAAACATGAGCCACGTGGACGTGACGTGGACGTTGGAGACCGATGCTCTCTGCGTCGTGATGTAATGCAGCCTGCCCTGCTGGCTTCTGAAACCTGGCTCCTGAGCGAAACTTGCGTCCGAAAAGGTTACAACACAAATGTCATGCCAGTCCAGCCTCTCTGCAGGATAGTACAAGGATCTTCCTTGATCAGCTTGCGCCAATTCCACAATGCGGTTGGCCTCCTTCAAATCCGCGATTGTCGCCGACGAGCAAGCTCTCTGCAGGCAGTTTACCTTGTAACACAGATCAGGCCTCGCGAACCTAGCAACCCATGCCAAAGACCCCACTATGCTCCGAAAGCTTGTTGTCTCG